AATGACTGTGTCGGTGGATCGTGTATATAGCCTTGTACACAGAGGAACAAAGATTAAAGCCTCATCTGAGAGACGTCGGTTTGTAGAGTCTCTTTACTCGTTCTGGAAGGGGAGAGGTGCTTCTCCAGCTGACAAGCTACTGCTTGCATCTGGGAAGGTGGTGAATCTGGTGCTGCAGTCGACGTGGATCATCACGCGCTGCGTAATTACTCTAACATAATTCTGCATAAGCATGCTATCATCGCAGCCTTAAAGTATGGGACCTCAGGGTGGCAGTTACAGGTGTACAGTTGCTGTTTCCTAGCCTATATCCTCAGAATAGGAAGGATTGGAAATAAGGATTGTTAATTTAATAAATAAATTGTCCCTCCCCTCATATGTTCAAGTGTTGTGTATATTTATGTCTCTGGTCATCTTTCTCATTTATCCAAGAGGAGAGCTGTCCTTTTTATTGGCTTGGTTAATGAACTAAGGCTGGTAATATATTTCATCCAAGCCATGTTTCATTTTGCTTTGGGTTAAGAAGACTTTTTAGAGTACTACTCCTTCAAGACTGCAAAGTTAGGCTGATGATTCATCTACTACATGAACAAAGCCCTGTCTCAAAATGCCACAAAATTTATCTCTGCTTTTATGTCAATCTTTCTCCACTGTAGCATCATCAATCAGCCAGATTGCTTTCATATTTCATTATGTTTCCATGGTGATTTGTCCTGCAAAGTTAAAAATAAAGTCCTTGCACTATTGATGAAATTTGGAGGATTAAAGTCTCTCCCTGTAATTGCCTAATAGGTGTCTGGATGAGAAAACATTGATAGACATAGATATGCGTACACTCACATAATATAAACACACACACACTCATACATATATATATATATGCAGTTGTGGGTACCAAATATTTGCAGAAGATACATGGTTGTTGCAAATGAGAATACATATTGAAAATCAAACAGACAAGTGTATTTCAAAACTTCTACACAATTTTACCAGTAAAACAATTTACATAGGCTCATTCTATTTTGAATTGATCCATTTTCCTCTCTTCTCAGTCACCCTTTCTGGTATAAATTCTAACATAGTAGAAAAATATTTCATACTCTCCAACATTTCACAGATGAGAACCAGGACATGTGTGGCCGAGCAATATCAGAGTATGGTCAAGATGGCAAATGTTATTAATGTTATTAATGAGGAAGAACAGATAATCTAAGAGAAGCTTCAACTGTTTGGTTTCCCTTGAGTCTACTGGAAAGGCAAGTCTCTGCTCCTCCTCACTCCACTGAGTTAATTAAGTGTAGATAACTTTTGCACTTGAAAGTCAGTTTGCAGCAATTGAAGTATGCTGAGGATAAAGGGGAAGTAGGAGGAGGAGAGAGGAAAGGAAGTATTTTAAAAGCAGCTGAAAAAGTGGGATGACAGAGGATTAACTGGGACTGTCCCTGTCAAACTGGGACAGTTGGAGGGTATGACAGTTATGTGTGTTTCTAACTGGTGTTTAGTTAATACAGTCAAGACTGGCCCATGACACTTTGCTGCCTGGGATAAAGGACAAAATGATGCCCTTTGTATTCTTCTCAATGGAAATTGACCAGATAATTGTCCTCCACCACAGATGAAGGCAACAGCCTTGTTGATGAGTGGTATTGCACATCTGTAATGCCCTGTCTCTACCTTGAACAGACTTCAAAGATGAAACCAGAAAGAGTTTATTGAAAATCAGGTTCAGCATAGCAGCAGCACATTGCCAAATCTAAAACTATGGGATGAGTTTCACTTCTATAACCCCTTTCCCAACAGCTGACATTCTTTCCCTCTCAGTAACTGGCAGCTATATGACCTTGGTTTCCACATAACAATTTGTCCCAGCTGCACACCCTTCCCCAAACACTCTTATTTTTTAACATGGCTACAGCAGAGCTAAGCAGGCCTAACTTAACATGGCAGAGAGGTCTGACATAACTCTGGCAACATCTCACCATACCTCCCTGCAAAAAACTCTGCCATCCAAACCAGATGCTCCCTCTGCTTAATGGTTGGACTTATCTTTAAATACATAATAGATGTATACAAGGTGGTTATTACTGTTAGGATCAGGTCTACTTAGGGGAATTTATAATCAGCTCAATTATGCGAGAGTGAGGTCCCAACAAAGCCTTGTGGAACTGGGTACCGTTATGTATACCAGAGGACTAATAGATCTCTCAAGGGAAGACGCGGAGACGGGCTTATCCAATTAAAATCTAAATATTTATTAATTAACAAATGGGGAAAAACTGCACACATCCAAATATGGCACACACACACACACACACACACACACTAGAAGGAAAGATGAGTGAAAGTGGAGATATTAGGCTGAGGGGAAATACTTACTTCCGAAGGCTTCTCCGGGCTGTGAAGGTTGATGATGATGGTGATGAAGCACGGCCGCCGAAATGAAGAGAAGGAGATGGCTGCGGGAGCTAAATCAGAGTACAGACTGACATGGAGTCTGCATGCACACGGAGCCTAGAAATCCAAGGGTTCTTATAGGGAATTCCTGCCTTCTGGCTATAAGCCATACTGTTGGACAAAGGCATTGATGGGTTTAGTATTGTTAACCTAGGTGTGAGCATAGCCTAAACAATGCATTTGGTTTCGAAACTATCGAGGAAGGGAGGCTAGAGAAAAGTTGCAGTTAAATCTGATCACTGCCCCATTAAGTGTGAGATTCAAGACAAATAAACACCATTAGGTGTCCTTTCCAATACAATGGTCTTTCCCTTTTGGCAACTCCCAAACCTTTCTGTTAGAGAATTTTCCAGTGGTCTTGAGCAGGTCTCTCAGTGCCTACATGACTTGCCATCTAGGGGATTATGGCTGACATCCCTCAGAGGTCAGTCTGGGGTCATAGAGGGAACTCAACATGTGTCCAAAATTTTGTGAAAATGCACATATGCTAGTATTACATACTAGAATATTCCAATATAAGAAGCAGAAAAATGAAAACACAAGTAGAGGGAAAAACACACACTCACAATCATGTCAACAACAAGTTTCTATAAAAACTGACCAAGGGGGGAAGCAGACGGCTAAAAGGGCCGTCTTGGGGGCAAGGAAGGGGAGGGGCAGCCGCATGATGGGCACCCGAACCCCTTCCCGAAGTCATCGTCGGAGCGCCGGCCCCTCCGCATGGCCGGCGCTCCAACTATGACTTCCCGCCACAGCGTTTGCAAACACTGCGGCGGAAGAGTCACCGAAGGTGCGCCGCCAGCCTCTTGCGGTGCACCTTCAGCGACTTGTGGAAGGAGCGCTATTTTAGTGCTCCTTCCAGGGGCGGCGAAGCTGCACCGTGGGGCCAAGATGTGGGGATACCTTGGCCCTGCGGCGCAGCTTCCTGGGGAGGCCCATGGCCGCCCGTCTGCTTAGCCCCTATATGTCCAAATATGTCAGTTTGTAGATTTCATCTGTACATCATTGTCTCAAATGTTACCAACATCGCTAGATCCTCTATCCATTGAAACACAGGTAGAGGAAAGTTATCTTTCCAATATCAAAGTATCAATCTTTTATCAATCAAGAGGATGGCAAAAACTTCCTCTGCCCTTTTGTTAATTTCCAAGGTGTTGTTGTTATTGTGTGTCTTTAAGGGATTTCCAACTTATAGCAACCCTAAGATGAATCTATCATGGGTTTTTCTTGGCAATATTTGTTCAGAGGAGATTTGCCATTGCCTTCCCCTCAGGCTAAGAGTACATGACTTGCCCAAGTACGTGAGAAGGGAATCAAACCCTGGTCTCTAGAGTCACAGTCCAACACTCAAACCACTATGTCACAGGTTAATAATTCAAAAGAACATGCACATCTTTAAATATTAAAGAGCTTTCTAGTACCATGTTTATTTGCCTAATTACTTCCACCCTAAATGAGGCCATTACAGGTTAGCTCCATAACATATGTGCTAAGGAGGTATTAGCAATGTTACCTTTCCAATAATTGGCTGATTTAGATAACCCTTTCTTAAAAAGGTACTGTGGTGACCAAGATACCTGAAACCGCAATTTCTTCTGTATAAGATGTTATTGTGTGTTGTATAAGACACTATATGATCTATACTCATACTTGTTATAGATGTTAAAACAATTAACCATTGGCTAGCCAAATTTGGGCAATCCAGTTCCCTACTCCATTCCTGTTGTAGAGATTGCATGTCATATTTATTTATTGACAACAAAGATAGATGGATAGATAGATAGATCATTGGATTAGCCTCAATGAATGTTTCTAAAATTAAAGGAACCTCAAAAACACACAGGACTGCATGGCCAAATCTGGATTGTAGCAAATATTTCAATTATAAACTGCCATTTTGGTGATAAAGGTAAACTAAGCAGCTCTTGTAGAACTGAGAAGGGTAGAAACTCATTGTCTCCCACAAGTGTTTGATTTAAGGTAATAATCCCATTATCTGCCCACGTCTTCCATAAAAATGTTTTCTTACCAATCTTCACATCCAGATTCACCCATAAGGTCAATTTAGCAGGAACATATGGATCAAAGTGATCAGTATTAACTAAAGATTAAATTACTTGTTGTAACTTATTAGCTAAAATAGCTATCAATATTTTAATGTCACAATTAAAGTAATATAAATATCATTTAATGATCAGGAGAGGAAAGTTGCATTCTAAAATATAATTATACAGTTGAAGTAGTCTTGGCACTAACAAATTAAAAAAAAACACCACAACTTTATACCATTCAATTGGAAGTCCATCAGGACTAGCATCATAAAGTTTCACCAACTTTAAGCGTTCTAGATTTATTTATTTATTTAGCTGTGCTGAGATGTGGAAGATTAATATGGAAAAAGTAGACCTCCATGTTGTTTTGGTATTTCTTTATCAAAGCTATAAATATCAGTTTAGAATTTCAAAACTGTAGATTTATGTCTGCAAGCAATATATATAAGTTGTTGCTTTCATCCTTAATAGCTGAAATAACATTGCTCTGGTGGTGCTTAAGAAACGTGCCAAAATCTTTTTAGGGCATTCCCCATTCTCTCAATATGTTTATTGTAGACACGTCAGGGCAAATTAAGGTTGTTGTGACAGGATATTATTCAGTTCATATTTAACTTTTTGTAGTTCATGATAGAGTTGTTCAAATGGAAAGACACAAAGGTTTTCAGCTGCTTACATAATAATTTCTTTTAAAGTATTTTAGCTCTTTTTTAATGGCAAAAATAAATAATAATTTTTCTTGAATGTAATTTTCCTATTCAATAACATATGAACTCATGATACCCTTCTTTATTCTGAAATACTTGATCAAATCTTCTGACATTTGAGCCCTAAATGCTGAGAAGTGAAACATTAAAATGCCAAAAACCAGAAGGTTTAGCGGTGTTCAGAAAATGCAATTTTAAACATACTGGACATTTAATATACTGATGCTATTAAATATTCAATTTTATACACCTTTATATTACCAGCCAAAGATGTAGAGATTAAAAAGCAGTTTAATCTGAAACGTTTATGGTGATCTGACACAATAAAAGTATATTTCCCAGTCCCTGTCTGTACAGTTTTCTATGCATTTGATTAAACCATACTTAGTCATATATGTTTGTAGAGTGGCAATTACCAAAGATTCTCTCCTTGGTGGAGATGTACTTCTATCTAATAAGGAATTCAAATCTTCATTAAAATCACTACTAACAAATAGTCATATTTCTAACAATCAGAAAGGTTACTAAAACATTGCCGATATATCACTGTTAGGCCCATAAACATTAATGAAAGCAATTGACTTTTCAAGATCTCTTGCTGCTAAAATAAAAAACTCGCCCATCTAGGTCTATTATCACCTCCTGAACTATAGTAGAAAGATATTTATGAATTAAGATTGCCACACCTTTACACTGTAGTGAAACGTTGGTAACACACACCTCTCCAACCCATTTTTTCTGCAGAGTATTTGCATCTTCTACCTTCAAGTGGGTTTCTTGTAGGAATGTTATATCAAGCCTAAGCTCTTGTTGCCAAGTAAGTACTCTTTTTTGCTTGTTAGTATAGCACACTCCCTTGATTTTCCATGAAATTATGTTAAGCATTGAATCATAAATACATTGTGGCATCTACCTCTCACCTGTGATTTCTAAAGTTACAGAAATTACTAAAAACAAAGTTTGCATAATATAGCACATCTTTCCTAGCTTGCCATAAACACCTATTAATTCCATAAATCATCACCACAAGTGCTGATTGTAAAATGTACTGTGACTTGAAAATGCACATACTACTCCCCTGTATGGGAATATTCCAGGATGTTCTTTCTCTCCCCTTGCAAACACTACTCTTATATTAATTAAAAGTTTTATAGATTAAAACCTTTCCTGCCTTGATTTATACTTTTGATTTCTTCTTGCAATCCTAAAATAAAATAAAAAAAATACCTAGGAGTAGACCCTTTTGATGACATTGCAATTTGTTTACAATTTATTAATTGCTAATACAAAGAATTGTGATACAAAGGCAAGGCAATGTAGGAAAAGTACCAATTTGTCTAAGCAGTTCATTCATGGACAACCATTAGGGAGAATTAAACATTTGCCTCCGATGGCAAATGTTTGCTGGGAGGCATAGAGTAAAGGTGAGGTGTTGGGGAATAGATCTGAATAACACAGTAAATACTGCCTCTCATAAGCTAAACTTTTGCTCTCAGGACTTGTTTACACTGGCCAGAATACTCTGAATTGCTGCTGGATTATTCTGGCCCTAGAAGTTCCCTGGTTCCCCCCATTACCTCCCAGTGGCTGTCTACACATGTGTGTGTGTGTGTGTGTGTTTGTGTATGCACAATCTTTTGGTGCAAACTATTCCCAACCACACTTCCATGTGAATAATTGTATCTGCTGAAGTTGTCTCTTGTTGTTGTGTGCCTTCAAGTCATTTCCAGCTTATGGCAACCCTAAGCCAACCCTGTGATGGGGTTTTCAGAAGGGGTTTGCCATTGCCATCCTTTGAGGCTGAGAGATTGTACTTGCCCAAGGTCACCCAGTGCATTTCTATGGCTGAGCTTGGATTCAAACCCTTCTCTCCAGAGTTATAGTCCAATGCTCAAACTGAGATGGAAAAGTTTCAATAATCAATATATTTTAACTATCTATGTTAGAAATGTAGAAAAATAGATGCCAAGCGGCCACATAGAGAGGATTCTGGGAGTTGAGGCCTCTGAGAAGGGATGATATGCTGGAAAGTTTTAACAGCAAGAATGTTTAGCGACAGATTGCCCTTTTGAAGGACCTGCTGCATTAAGACGCCAAAGCGGTGTATGGCAGCCACAATAAATCACTGATAGGAGATGCAGGCACTCTATGCAAAGGGGCCCATGGTACCATCTTCTGCTGATAAGGAGCATTGGTATGTGGCCAGATGTACCTTAAGTATATTATAATGTATTCTGAGATCTTTACTCTTATTGCTTGAGATTCTATATGTTTATGGTTTGAAATATCCAATAAGATGTAAGAACTGGATTTCTTTGAGAGTGTATAAATGAAGCCATTTTCTTCTGTTTGGGGCCCAAAATTTTGGAATGCTAATTTCCTTTTGGGTCTGCTGGCATAATAAACTTGTGTTTACAACTGACTTCGGTCCCCTCTCTTTCTTCTGTTCTGCAAGTAACTGAAAGTGCTGAGGGCTGGTAGCCCACAGACAGTTTGTTTCCATTACAAAACCACTACACTATTGTGCACTCCTGTGCAGCTATTAAAGGTGCTAAAACCTGCACCACAAGGAATATGGCAGATCTGAGGGATCTTTCCTATTTACCCTCAGATAGCCTTTCTCAACCTGATGCTGCCCAAATATATTGGACTACAGCCTTCATAATCTTTTCCAATTTGGTATGCTCCCACTCGAAAGAAGGCATGAGTTGAATTTTAGTTTCTGTGCAAAGCTGCTCCTTTTGAAATCCAACAACAAGAAATTCTTGCTCTCTCCCTGAAATGGAATATACAATTTTCTTCAGAGCTGGCTCTCAAGTGACTAAAAATGTCACCGAAAACAATTCAAATGCATCATGCAGGTGAAAAGGGGATGAATTGGGCTGCTATCTTTCAACTTCTCAATTAAAAAAACCCCACCTCATTGTTAAAGTAAAGGAAATCTCAGAATAAGCCTGATTGAGCAAACAAGGCCATTTGTGTGAAACAATATCAAGACAATGTAGCTGAGAATTCATTTTCTTTTGTTCAGTTCATTCTTATTGGCAACAGAAGCTATCTTCCATAATACATAATTTTGTTTCTATTTACACTGCTGAAGGAAGCTTAGAAGCATGAACTCTTTGTACTGTACAGCTGCATTCAGCTGTTGTTGTTATACAGAGATTTTCTGTGGTTGGAGGCTATTGCTGATTTTATGTCTGTTCTCAATGGGCTTCTTCAAGGTTATGAAGAACTCAATCTTGCCTTCTTTTTCTTGACAGCCCAGTGATGGGCAACTTGTTGCAATGGCAAACTTCCTCTGAATAAATCTTGCTAAGAAAACCCCATGAAAGGTTTGCCTTAGGATCACCATTAGTCAATATGACACGAAGGCACATAACACATACCGGTAGATGCCTAAATAGCCTACAGGCACCAGATCCTGTTTGATCTTGGAATCTAAGCAGGGTCAGCCCTGGTTAGTACTTGGATGGAAGATTGGCAATTAGAACTAGTGTGTGTGTGTGTGTGTGTGTGCGTATGTGTGTGTGTACTGTGGGCTCTATTTCAGAGGAAGGAACTGGCAAAACCACCTCCCAGTTTCCTTGCCTAAGAAAACCCTATGAAA